GGCAATCCACTCACCTCGGCTTCCCAAAGAGCGGGATTACAGGCTGAGGCACCAAGCCTAGCTGTGTTTTATTTCTTAATGGGGCGGATTCCTGGGAGTTGATTATACCAATATCCTTTATACTTTTAGGTATAAATGAAATATTTAACGATAGTGTTTTGAAACCACTGGAATAAATACGATCAAAGCAGCTTCCAAGGAAACCAGGAATGGAGGCTTAGAAAACTCGATACCTTTGAGAATCTCTCTACACCTGGAGAGTAGAGAGGCTCTGTAGGTACCTATACAAATTTATCATTTGTGGCTATACACATTTATTCCACTCAGTTAAGTGGGGAAGTTTTAGTTTGTAAGACACACACAAGCAAGTATCACAACTGTTTTCTTAAAAAATGGCATGACAAGGAAAGATCTTAATTCTGATTTTCCCTACCTACTTTTTATTGTTAAGTTGCTAAAACAGATACTAAATTTGAAACTTATTTAAGGATTTTGAAATACATAATATCTGCGCTTTGAAATAAATAATATCTCTGCTTTTTTTTCTACTGTCAAGGTCCCAGTTTTAAAATCTGGTCCTTATTTGAAAACAAAGCCTTTTGTAAATACAATATTGAAAAGCCAAGATAATGTAAGCCAACTCTTCTTTTAATGTCAAGACAGTCTGGGTGCAAATATTTGGGGAACAAAACCAAGAATGAAATTTGTGGTGTGGGGAAATCTCTCCAAAGCTTTATCTCAAATTAATAGTTTGAATCAGTAGTTTTGGTTTTTGTAGCACATATAGTTTTTCAAAGCTTTGCAAAATTTTTTAGAGTTAGAAATTAAGACATGTTCTTGTATATGTCTGTATACCCATGGGATTTATTCTGTGATTTTTTTTTACCATGTATTTGTTTTCTTATGTCAAAAGATATAATTTATTTCAGCTAATAAAATTATGCTCAAAAATGTATTTTAAATATGTAATAATAAGAGGATGGTTCTCTAATTTGGGAATGTCTATAATCCAATGTTAAGTGGCATGGAGAAGTATATAAAATTATTCATATATAAACATTATGCCCATGTGAAAATACAAGGGAAAAAGCAAAATTGGCAGAAATTAATTGGTGGCCAGAGTAGTGGGAAAGTGGATTTTTTGTTGTTTCTTGTTTTTAATCTTTCCCTACATTCCAAGAGTTTTGTGATATTGTTTGCTTACGAAAAACAACTCTAAAAATTAAAGATATTTTAAGAGCAAAATAATATAAAGTTTATTTAACTTCATCTTCCATAAACTATTTTGGTTATTTTATGCTCATAAAAGTAACGTATGTTCATTCTGCAAACGTGGAATGCTCCAAAAATATATACAAATGAGAAAGTTAAAAAATTGCTGTAATTCCAAAATCTAGTCACCGTGAACATTTTGGTGCATTTACGTCCACTCTTTTTTTTTTTTGAGTTGGAGTCTCACTCTGTCACCCAGACTGGAGTGCAGTGGCCGCTCCTGGCCACCGCAGCCTTGACCTGCTGGGCTCCGGCGATCCTTCCGCCTCAGCCTTCCGAGTAGCATGAATTACAGGCATGGACTACCACGCCCAGCTGATTTTTTAATTTATTGTAGAGATAGGTCTCACTGCCCAGGTGGATCTCGAACCCGCGGGCTCAGGCAATCCACTAACCTCAGCCTCCCAGAGTGTTGGGATTACAGGCTGAGCCACCGAGCCTGGCTACGTCCACTCTTTTTAAATGAATAATTGTTTAATGTAATTGGGATCTGGTATATGTATTTTCTTCTTTTCCCTAAATATCCCAAGCATTTTTCATGACATTACTTTTGTTCCAACTATTATCTGTTACGGTCGTTTAAGAGTCATCAACGACTATATCATATTAATGTCACCTTCCTACCATTTTGTCAATGCAAGTGCCTGTCCTGTTTTGACTTTACAAATTTTGCTGTACCAAACAACACTGTACATAATTTTTTTCTTTTTTTTTGAGTCAGAGTCTTACTCTGTCTCCCAGGCTGCAGTGCAGTGGCATGCACACGGCCACCACAGCCTCGACTTGCTGGGTTTGGACGATCCTTCTGCTTCAGTCTTCCAAAGATCTGGAACCATAGGCGTGTGCCACCACACCTGGCTACTCTTTTGATTTACTGTAGCGACGAGGTCTCACCAAGTTGTCCAGGCTGGTCTCAAACCTTTGGGCTCAGGCAATCCTCTTGCCTCTGCCTCCCAAAGTGCTGGGATTACAGGTGTGAGCCACCATGCCCGGCCAGTTTTTTCTTTTCTCTGATTATTTCCTGGAGATGAAGTCCTGGAAATGAGTTGACTAGGTCAAAGGACTAAAAAACACTAAAATGCCCTATGATTTTGAATCTCCTGACCAAAAGGTGGCTTTAATTTATGCACGCATGGGCAATGAGATCATCTTTTAATTTTAAAAAAGGAGAAAAGTTTTTTCTGCCATTTTAAAAGGTAAAAAAACCTTTCATCCTTTGGGGGGGGGTTGGAGTCTCTGTGTCACCCAGGCTGGAGTGCAGTGGCAGGCTCACGGCCACCGCAGTCTCGACCTGCTGGGCTCCGGGGATCCTTCCAAGGAGCTGGAACTACAGGCGCGCGCTACCACACCCGGCTATTTTTGGTTTATTGTAGAGATGAGGTCTCGCCAAGTTGCCCAGGCGGGTCTCGAACCCCCGGGCTCA